AGACTCCAATCAAGGTGTAGCAACAGCTCAGCAATGATCAAGAGAAGTGGGAGGCAACTGAGCTAAATTTCAAGTGTTGTTGGAAAGGGTCTGAATACTTATGCCAGTGTGATATTTCAGTTTTTTCTTTTTAATAAATCTACAGACATTTCTAACATTCTGTTTTCACTTTGTCATTCTGGGGTACTGAGTGTAGATTAATGAGAAAAAAAATTTGAACGATTGTATCAGGCTGCAACATAACAAAATTGAAAAAAGTGAAGGGGGTCTGAATACTTTCCGAATGCACTGTATACTTAGCAGAATATAATTTTATAAGAAATTATAAGAAATTAGTAGTTTGCCAAATTGATTAATATAGATCATCTATGGATGATTGTAATGAATCATGGTTTCAATTAATTGATGTATGTATGTCTGTAAATATATGTCTTGCATGTTTTTATTTTCTTTGTTAGCTTCTTTCTTCTTTTATAATTTTGTATACTGTATATACTCACAGATAAGCCAAGAATTTTAGGTGCCAAAATACAACCAAGAAATTGAGTTTGGCCTATCCATGGATGGGCTTATCTGTGAGTATATATGGTAGATTTTTCTCTCAGCTTTTTTAAAGTACCCATATATCCTGTACATACTCATGGATAAGGCCATCTGTGGAGAAGCAGACTTTGAAGTTTTAACCAAAATACTATGAAAAATGTGCCACCTGTGGGTAAGCCAATTGTGAAACTTAAAACATACAAAAATGTTGAGGGTCATCTTATCTGTGGATGTGCTTATCTGCAAGTATATATAGTATTCTTTGTTTTTTATTTAATTTAAAAACTCTTAAAAAAAACAAATTATTGTGGAGACTGCTGCTTGCATGAAAGAAAAATAGATAACCTATATGTAGGAAATAACATAGTGATAAGAGACCCTGTGTTACTTAAGTCTATCTACACTAAGAACTTACAATGCGCTGTCCTTTGGTTGGCTGAGGACCTGAACTGCACGGTTCAGAATTAGAAGAGAAATATAGATGAACTGAGAGAGGAAGGAAGTGATAAAAGCCCTGAGAATATCAGTCTAGCCCAGAGTTTCTCAACCTTGACTACTTTAAGATGGGTGGACTTCAGCTCCCAGAATTCCCCAGCCAGTTGAAGACCACCATCTTAAAGTTGCCAAGGTTGAGAAACCCTGTGCTAGCCAATGAGATGTATGTTACATAGGGACATGCTAAGTAAGTTTTGTTTAAAGCAAGTAGATAAAAGTGCAAAGTCCCTCTGCTAAGTAGCTCTACATCTATTGCTCCTGGAGGTCAATAGATTTATAGGTGCAGAAAGCTGGTGCGTGCAAAGTTGAATTCCAACATTTCTCTTCTCAATGGCTATTGCACCAGTTCATGACTTTCATGGCTTCATGAAGGTCTTTAAACTGACCTCTTGACAGTAGCTTGGTGAGTATGTCAGCTGCTCTCTCCTCTGCAGGGCAATACTTCTGCTCAGCAAGCCCATTCTGGTATGCATCTTGCACATGATGGTACTTGACATCATTGTGCTTTGTATATGAAGTAACTTTTTCTTTTTTGGAAATCAGAGTGCAACTTTTGTTGTCCTCATCTATAATTCAGCTTATCTATCACAAAGTCCAATATTAGTTTGAGTAACCAGGTTATTTCTTGGCAAACTAATGCTGCAGATATATATCCTGCTTCTGTGGATGAGAGGACAACTGTTACTTGCTTTTTGCTAGTCCAACCTTCCACATAATAAGACAAGTTTTTTGGTGGATTTTCTGTTCTTGATATCTCCAGCGGAGTTTGTAATTCCAGCTGCTAGTCCGGAATTGTTGTCTATAGGTAACATTAACTTTTAATCTACAGTTTCCTTTAAGTATCTTCCTACTATCTTGATTCCATCCAGTCTTCCTTTGCTGGTGCATTTACCTTCCTGCATAGTATCCCTATTGCTGATGTAGTTTCTGGCATAGTGACTAAAAGCCTTTAGGTGTTCTCCTCCATTATGGTGAGCCAGATAAGTAGCTGAAGTGCACAGGTCAGAGTCAGAAGTGAAGAAGAAAGCAGATGAAAGCCCTGAGAATATCAGTCTAACTAATAGAAAGCATGTTACACAGAGACATGCAGAGTTAAGTCTTTTTGATAGCAAAGGAGAGAAAGGCATAGAGTTCCTCTGTCGATTATCTCTACGTCTACTACTTCTAGTTATCAAAAGGTTATAAGTGCAGAAAGCCACTGCGTGGAAACAGACATAGCATGAGAATGAGCTTTATTCTTTCTTACTGTTTTTTTTTTCCTGATGGATTACATTAGAAGTAAGAATCCGTGTTGACTTTTTCATTTATTACCTAATACTGACTATAGGGGATTGCATATTGTTTGTTTATTTAAGAAAATTTATGTGGCTGCTTATCTTACATATAAACTCTTGCAGTTGGCTGTTTCTGTCCCTAAACCTGATTGTCAGTGACTGTGTCATGTATTGAAGGCATCAATTACTTTTCAGCAGGTAGTGCTTTCCACAGGGAGCGTAGGGCTGGTCATTGTGTATGTATGTATGTTCTAGGTTGCCAAACATTTGGGGACATCTTCCAGCTGCCTCACACTTCCTTGCTGTATCATTATATTCTTCTCACAAGCGTTTTTCCCTTTTCTTTTCTGCTTCACTTGGTGCCAGATGTCTCTGATCCAGGTAACTAGCAGCTGGGGTTAAACCTTCCCCCTTTGGGCTAAGCAAAAAGGCTTTGGCAGCCAGAATGAAAAGCATGCTCATTTTTCTGGATCTTTATGGAAAAACCAATAGCTCGAATCCCCAGTTCTTTCAGGACAGATCTAGTAAAACAAACCAGATGGCATAACTACTCCATGGAGATTTCTCAAGAATGCTAGTGGTAGAGGGGCACATTTCAGCAGACTTACTAGCAGATCCACTAAGGGAGATATGTTTCTATAAAATGTTTCCACAGGGCCTAATTTTAAAAAGCAACCTACCAAAAATATGGTAGGGAAGCTGAGAATAATAGAATGATAGTATGAAAAAAACAGAAAATAAAAGGTCAAAGTTAGTTCCTGGCAGGGCCTCAGAGTATGGCATAGTGAAGGTGCCACAGCTGAAAAAGCCATCTGTTCTTTGCTAGTGGTAGAACTAAGATGTAGGTAATGGTAGCAGTGATTCTTAGAGGAAACAATAGCCCTCCAGATACATGTATCTTTAGTTGCTTTAAGTATTAAAGCAAGTATCAACTGGCATTCAAAAATGTGTTGAGAGCTATTGAAACATTTCCATTCTCCCTCTCTTAAGATTCCATGTTTTGATGAAATTGTAGTTTTCCAGTATGCATGGATTGTGATACAGTATCCAGATATTCCATGTTATCTTTGTCCCAGAAGAGTCAACATTAATGCATCAGCCAGAGCTGGTAGAAAGCAGTTCGTGCCTTTGAATATGTCATTAAGAGATAAGTCTAACATATACCAGCATTCAAACTGTTGATCTGCTATAGTAGAAATGAACCATTTGCAGGAAGGGGTAGAATTAACTTTTGTTTTTCTGTTTCTTCAACCTTGGAGAGAGTAAAAGGCTGGCTGATAGCACGATAATTTTAGTGGGACTGAAATGTTCGTTTAGAAGATTAAGGGGTGAAATGAGCATATACATTCTTGTAAAGGTTTAATGCATCCATATTGCCACGTAGCAAACAAATTGGGGAAAGCCGTATCACTGAAAGTTGGCATTTTTGCTGCTATTTTTTGGCTACATGCTCTGAAAGCTGTAGAAGGAGTGTTAGGCCTACCAATTTATAACTGAGATTACAGTCCTCTCCTACAAAAATCTGCTCCTAATTGCCCCAAGTTTTCCTGGCTTTCAGCTGCCTAGCATTAGTGTAATAAGTCATTTTTTTGTCACTAGTGTTCAATAATTGGTATTCAAAATCCTTTGTCACTTTTCTGAAAATCAAACATTTTCCAATAGAATCCACTCTACGTTGTGCCAACCCTTGCCTCTCAGTCCTGGATTATATATTTGCTTCATCATGAACTTAGTCAAATGTTGATTGCCATGTTTTAATTCCATTTGTTCTTTTCTGCGGTAGACCTTGGGATTTTTCGACGTGTAGTTATAGTGTTGTACACAGATTATATACAGCAATGCAGCCGACCCATGTACATTGTAAGTACTTCCTTCAGTCCCTTGAAGCTTTCTCTGATGGATTATGAAAATAGTTTTCCTTTTCATTTGAAAACATATAAATTGGTTAATATAAACATAATAATCTTATTTTCCACCGTGTTAGTAATCCATTTTCTGAAATTCTTTGACTAGAAAAACTATGATGGATTCCACTTAGAATTCTTCTTCATGGTCTTTATGTATCATCTGTATGAGGATGCGTCTGGTCAGAACCACCATCAGGAACTTTCTCTGCCTGACAGAATTCTTAGTAGGAGATCTACTCTCCCCTGCACATACAGATAGTCCTCAAGGTACAACCATTTGTTCAGTGATCGTTCAAAGTTACGGCAGCACTGAACAAATGGTACTTATGCCTGGTCCCCAAAGTTATGGCCATTGCAGTGCCCCTGCGGTCACATGATCAAAATTCGGGTGCTTGGCAGCCCACCTACACTTAACCCCAGGGGAGCTTCAACTCCCTTCACCTGCCTATCTTCCCCCCATCTCTGCCATTTTGGCCACCCTGCACAGTGGCACTCCTCAGTGGTGGTGGCAGCACTGGGGGTGAAATAGAGGGCAGTCTCTGTTGGCCACCCCCACCCCCAGGCCTCAACTTCAGTCCCAGTGCTGCCACTACCACCAAAACATGCTGCCTCAAGCCCCATGCCACAGTCACCACCTCAGTGCCACAGCGCAAAGCCCCAGCCACCACCAGTGCCCTGCGTTCCACTCATCCTGTTGGACTTGCTACCCAGCACTCTGCTGGCCTTGCCACCCTCTGCTCCACTCACCCTGCCGGCCTTGCCACCCCCACTCCACCGTCTTCCTCCCACTGCTGATGAGGTGCGCCCAACCTGGCCCTATGCAAGGCAGCTGCTGGCTATGCCAGGCCTTCTACCTGAGGCCACTTGTGCCATTCTCCAAATTGTGTGGGCTGTTCTTGTGATGCTTTGGAAGGCCTCAGAAGCTTTCTGAAGGCTTTCCAAAGCATTGCAAGAATGGCCTGCGCTATTTGGAGAACAGCATGAGCAGCTTCAGAAAGAACATCTGGCGCAGCTAGAAGCTACTTTGCATAGGGACAGGCCGGGTGCACTTCATCATCAGCAGGAGGAAGACAGCAAAGATCAGCTAGGGGTGGCAGGGCCAGCGAGCACAGGGCCAGCAGGGTGATAGGGCCAGTGGAGTGCAGAGTGGCAGAATGCAAGGTGGCCAAAAGGGCAGTGATGGGGGGGAGATAGGCAGGTGGAGGGAGTTGAAGAGGAGGCAGCCCCTTACCTTATCGAGGCTCAGGGCTGGGAGGGACAAAGCCAGCAGTGGTTTGGATCAGGGTGGGTCCTCGCCTGATGACCAGTGGGATTTGGTCAACAACGGCAACAGGGAGTGCTGGGATTGCTACTGCCAAGCAATGTGGTCACATGACATCACACTTTACGACCGCATCACTTAGCGATGGAAATTCCTTTCCCAGTTACCATCATAACTCAAGGATTACCCGTCCCTAACCCTAACTTGTACACTTACGTGTGGCTGATGTTCTTTCCTCAGTTCCTTTTTTGATCATAGCTGGTTTCTTTCATCATATCTTATTTGCATAGCTAAGAAAGATGTCATTCTCACCACTACTGCTTTCACTTTCCGATGCAATCTGTTCTGCATTGGTCAGGCCCCATCTCAACAATTATGTTCAGTTCTGGCACTCTAAGGAAGATTTAGGCAACTAGACAGCAAGGATTATCAGGACCCTGAAAACGAAGTCCCGCAAAGAGAGACAGGGTATATTAAATTTGATAGAGAAAACAGGAGAGATCAAAAAGAATTCTTCAAAAGATACATCAGAAAAGATACTTCAGGAAAAGAACCATGAATAATTATAATGTAATTAAGTTACATTATGGTAGATTAATGATAGATTTTGGTTTAGCATAAGGAAATATGTCCTATCGCAGATGGTGAGTTCCCTTTAGATGTTTTTAAGCAAAGACTGAACAAATATTTCTCAGAGATCTTTTAATTTGGATTCTGGGTTGGATTCAATGGACTAGAGAGCCCCCTTATTATTTTACAAGTTTCTGTAACTTAGTTCTGGCATTCAGATAACCAAAGTACTCTGGGTGATGGAGGGTGGGCAAAGGTGGGGATCCGTGGTTGCGTGAGAAAATATAGATGTGGAATGATAGTGGAAATTTCTAAATGATTAAATATCCTCTAAATATTAAGAAAATTATGATGCTAATACATTCTCAAGAAAAGCATAAAAAATACTTTAAAGTGAAAAAAAGTATAATATATCATTAAAACAGTTAAGTTACAATTCTATATATACTTATCTAATGTAAGTATTATTCAAATACGTATATAATTCTAATACATTTATTTGACTATCATATTTTTTTTAACCTCCTATATTTTATATAAATGAGTTCCATATTTTATTATACTTGTGCATACAAAGTCAATCCGCTGATAAGTGGCAGGTGCAACCAGGTCTTCAATCCATTGAGTGAATGGGGCCATACATTATCTTTCCATTGCTATAATAGAAGTTTTTTGGCAATAGCAAGGGTATGGAGAATCTATTTAAGTTGTCTAGTTGTCAAATTCCATGTAATAGGTATGTTATTCAAGAGAATATTATCCTCTGAAAATTTTAGCTTTTGTCGAATAGTCATACTTACATAGTCTACTACTTTCTCCCAAAACTTAGTAAGTATAGGACATTGTAGAAACATGTGTTTTAAAGAAGCATTATCCTTATTACATCTCCAACAAAATGCTGTCTTAGTCCTTTTTTATATAAATGAAGTGGAGTCTAATACATTCTAAATATTATTTTTTCTTGTATAAGTTGTAGTTTGAAGTCCACTGACACTCTTGCTATAGAAGTTAAGACGCTGTCCCATTGTCTAGGTAATATGGGAACCTCTGATTCTTTATTTCACTCATTTCTTAACATCTGCATATCAGATTGATTTATTGATAATAAATATCTTTAAAAACTAATACTAGGTTTTTTAGTTTTAAAGGATTTAACAAGTTGTTCTAGTGTCTCAGGTGTCTCGGAAGCTGAAAATGCTGCTGGTCCAGACAATGTTGTTAACAAATGTTGTAGCTGTAAATATTGCCATTGGGTTACATCTGATAGATGATATTTATCTCTGAACTAGTGTCTCAGGTGTCTCGGAAGCTGAAAATGCTGCTGGTCCAGACAATGTTGTTAACAAATGTTGTAGCTGTAAATATTGCCATTGGGTTACATCTGATAGATGATATTTATCTCTGAACAATGTTGTTAACAAATGTTGTAGCTGTAAATATTGCCATTGGGTTACATCTGATAGATGATATTTATCTCTGAACACAGCTTATGTTACAAATTCATCTTCATCGTCTAACAATTGGTCCAAAGTCAATATCCCCGCCTCCATCCAATTTTTCCATATCGCCGTCTTTTTCCCAATTTTTAAAATCGAGTTTCCCCATAAAGTCAATTTAGCATTGGAAAAGGGGTCAAATCTTATTTTATTAGGCATTCCATTCCATAACTTTCTAATTGACATAATTGTTTCCATAGATACTAAAGTTCTATTTTCTTTGTGTTTTTTTCTTTTTCTGTTACTATTCAATTTAAAATAATAAAAAATTTGTAAAAATCCTCTAAATACTTATAATGATGCTAAAGCAACTACAGATGTAAATCGGATAAGCGGCTTCACATCACAAACTTAAGTATGCTGTTAATTATTTCCTGTTAAAATCATTGGGATAAAACTGAAAAATGTTGCTATGACTTGATGACTTCACGCCTTGCAGATGTTCTGCTATGACGTTATACACATTTTTGGTTATTCCTTCTGTTCTCTAGGACAGAATGATTCTGCTTGTTGTTGGGAACCTGGTTAATTGGTCTTTGTAAGTAGCAAATGTATGTTTATATGTTTGTAGATGTATTTTGTACAATAAGAGATGCAGGTGTCTGTTGGAGAAGCTCTCTCTCTGAAATAGTGCTGCCTACTATTTTTAAAATATTTTTTCAAGTTGAAAAATTACCTATTATCTAACCATTTGTTCCCATTCCCTCTTCCCCAGCCTGGAAATTCCACAATTCTTTATGTGATTATTGCAGCATAGGAACCCGACTTTGTTAGGGAATCAGCCTGGCAACTGTTGGAATAAATACTAGTTCCTTCTTTCCCCCCCTTACCCTCTACCTCAGGAGTATTGCCATCCCCAGCAGAGAACCAGGAAGAGCCTCTCCTTCTCTTTGGCTCTTGTGACTCTGGCTTAGAAAAAGGAGTGGTGGGGGGAGCAGAGGAAAACTTCATCCCTTTCCTCTCAGTGTTATCTAAGGAAGCTATAATGGTAACCGGGGTGGGAAATTTACCATCTCAGTTATACTCCCTCATCTTTTAGCTGGAAATCCCCATTTTAGCATCTGCTTAGAGAATCACCCTTGCTCTATGAGATGATTTATAGCTTTATTCTAACATCGAGCGCTTTCTATTGCTTGATATATTCACAATGTGATTTTCTGCTTGTTAGGGTCTGTTCACAAATATTGGAGCTTTGCTTGGGAATAAAATGCCTAGAAAAAGAGATGATGAGGAAACAAACCAAAAGAGAACAAGTCTGCCCAGTCTCATCCATGTGTTCACTTTTTGCATTATTGGGGCCAATTCTCAGTTTAAATTGTCACAAGATGTCATAATTGGCTTATGCTAAGAGGTGCTGTGATCTTTTCTAAAATCCTTTCTTCTACAGTGACGGGAGTCATGGTCAAAATCATTTAATTTCTGGAAGCACTTTTCACTGAACTAGTGGATTTATAGCAAGGGCTTTTGAAGAATGGTTGATCTTTGATTGGTTTTCAGATAGATAGGTCTTCAAGATACTTTACAACTACTGTATAATTAAAACAATTAATTAAAGCATAATTATTATCGTTTTCTAACTAGAAAATCATAGTTATTCTAAACAAATTAATCTGGATCAGCATTGTATGTTTTTGTCCAATCATCTGGGATTACACTGCCTTTGTTCTTCTCTCTTAGTGCAATTTTTGGACTGGTATATCGGCCACGGGATTTTGCTTCTTACATGCTGGGCATTTTTATCTGTAATCTTCTGCTGTATCTTGCCTTTTATGTCATCATGAAGGTAAGTAGTCCTTATTACTTGTTACTTAGTAATGGAGGGGGATTAGATTGTATATGGAAGAATATGCTTGCTCGGTGCTCATCTTCTAGATCTGCCCTTCCAGAGTTGGTTACAGGTTTTTAGCCCTTGGATAAGAGACCTCAGTGATTATTAGTTTATGATGAAGTTCTTCATAGGAGACAGAGAGTACATCTTTTGTATAATCAGAGTATATATGATATCTGAATTTGGAAAAGCACCAATCAACTATTACATTAAGACAGATACGGGTATCATGATTAACTATGTTCCACAGCCTCAAACTTAAAGGGGAAAGCACAATTTACCAAAGATCAGGAAAATTGCCAGGCTCCTTCTGTGGAAATATCAGGTGAAAAGGAAGAAGAAAAAGGTCCCATGCTTCCAGTCTGATGAGATTAGCTCAATTCCTGAAGGACCTATGACCAGGTGTGAACATCTAGGGAAGAGGGCAATCCTTCAGGAATGCATTTCAGAAGTCACAAATGTAAGGTTTGTGTGAGTAGAGTGCTTTGCTTTGATTTTACACCAAATCCCCTACTGTTGTGATTACAGGATACTAGGCAATGCTGAGGACATGGTGGTATGTAACAAATTCAGGCAGATTCCTCTTATTTTCACTTCAAACAAAGACGGGCTTGAAGAGAAAGCTCTAGCTTTTCTAAAATTTGATTAGTTATCTCTTATGTCACTTTTTGGCCTTTTACGTGCATCTCATAGGAAATACCCATTGAAGTATTGTACTTTTTGTCTTTCCAGCTCCGCAGTTCAGAGAGGCTATTGCCTTTCCCTCTCTTTTGTATTGTGGCCACAGCTGTGGTTTGGGCTGCAGCTCTTTATTTCTTTTTCCAGAACCTTAGTAGCTGGGAGGTAGGTTTCTTTCTTTTTTCTTGCTTCTGTTGCACTTCAGGAGTATCTGAAATGACCAAAGATCACAAGAAGGAAAACAGTAGTCAAAGAAGCATTGGAGAATATATGGACAAAATTTCAGAATTAAAAGATGTTTTGATTTAAAATTCAGCTCTTGGTCTCCTTCCCTATGACCCTACTTTTTTATGCCAAATTCCGTAGAATATTAATATAAAACTAGCTTGATCCTCTAACATACAAGTATTCCTTAACTTACGATCATTTGTGTTCAGCAACTGTCCAGTTATGATGGTGCTGAATGAAGGGACTTATGACCATTCCCTGAAGTTACGGCACCCCTGCAGTCATGTGATCGCAATAAGGGTGCTTGGCAACCTGTTCACCCTTACAGCTGGTTGCCAAGCACCCCGCCATCACATGATCACCATTTGCAATTTTCCCTGCCGGCTTCCCCAGAAAGTCAATGGGGAAGGTGGCAGGGAAGGTGGCAAGTCACTGGGGTAAGTCTGCCCCACCTGCATGCCCTCCCTAGCCCATCTGCGCTCGCACTGCGCTGGCCACTCATACACCCCTGCACACCCTTCCCAACCCGGGCGGTTCCTCTCTCACCCCCTCACGCACCTCCACACACCCTCCCTGACCTAACCTGCACCCCCATACACCCTCCCTGACCTGCGCCACACTTCTTGTGCAATCCCATGCACCCTTCCCAACCCATGCGACATCTCTTGCACACCCCTTCACACCCAACCTGCACTGTACCCCCGTGCGTGGTATGCAAGATGTGCACCCTCCCCAACCTGCATGGCACATCTTGCACACCATGCACACTTCAGTTAACAATGGCAACTGGGACTGCAGGGATTGCTGTCGCTAAACAAGTCAAATTCATATTTTTGGAGTATAATTCAGTTTCACATTTACTTTTTTGGCAACTGTTTTTTTTAATTTAATTTAATTTTATTATTTATTTATCAAATGTGTCACCACCCATCTCATTAAATGACTCTGGGTGGTTTACAAAACAATTAAAATCAATTAAAATTACAATATTACAGTAATAAATACAAAATAAAAAGATCCAAAGTAATTGGCGATCACTCAGGGAGCGTCACTGAGGTGCTAGCCACCCCCAGGATTGGGTAAAGTTGTTACCCCCCACGCAAGCTGGCAGAGACAGGTCTTTAATTCTTTCCGGAAGGCTGGTAGGGTAGGGGCCTGCTGCACCTCTGGGGGGAGAATGTTCCAAAGGGCAGGAGCAGCGGCAGAGAAGGCTTTCTTCCTGGGTCCTGCCAGTCGACATTCTCTCGCTGACAGGGCCTGCAACATGCCCTCTCTGCCTGACCGAGTGGGGCAGGTTGATGTGACGGGGTAACAGGTAACCTGGACCCATGCCATGTAGGGCTTTAAAGGTGATAACCAACACTTTGAATTGGACCGAGAAGTGGACTGGGACCCAATGCAGCTCACGTAGTAAAGGTGTTATATGTGCCATTATTGGGGCACTCAAAATTATCCACGTGGCTGCATTTTGGACCAGCTGTAGCTTCCAGATACTCTTCAAAGGTAGCCCCATGTAGAGGGCATTGCAATAGTCTAGCCGAGAGATGACCAGGGCATGAGTGACTGACTGGAGAGCCTCCTGGTCCAGGAAGGGACGTAGTTGGCATACCACATGAAGGTGGGCAAAGGCTTTCCTGGCCACAACTGCCACCTGCTCCTCAAGCAGGAGTTGTGAGTCCAGGAGGACCCCCAGATTATGCACTGGGTCTGTCCAGGGCAGTGTCACCCCGTCCAGAACCAAAGATGGTAAATTCCCAGATACAGAGGGGCCTCCAATCCATAGCCACTCCATATTACCAGGGTTCAGCTGAAGCCTGTTGCACCCCATCCAGACCCCCACAGCCTCCAGGCACCACGAAAGGGTGGTCACGGCATCACTCACCTCATCCAGGATGGAGATGTATAATTGGGTATCATCAGCATATTGATGATACCTCATCCCATGGTGACAGATACTCTCACCCAGTGGTTTCATGTAGATGTTAAAAAGGAGTGGAGAGAGTACCGAACCCTGGGGCACCTCACAAAGGAGGGGCTGCGAGCTGGACCTCTTGCCCCCAATCAACACCAATTGGGATTGACCTTGGAGGAAGAGAACCAGCACAGAACTGTGCTGCCTACTCCCAACTCCCCAAGTCGACCCAAAAGGATACCATGGTCGATGGTATCGAAAGCCACTGAGAGGTCAAGAAGAACAAGGATGGATGCACTATCCCCATCCTGCTCCCGCCAGAGATCATCCATGAGTGCAACCAATGCCGTTTCCATCCTGTATCCGGGCCTGAAACCTGACTGAAAAGGGTCCAGATAATCCATTTCATCCAGGATCCTCTGGAGCTGCAACGCCACCACCTTCGCAACCACCTTCCCTAAAAAGGGGAGGTGGGAGACCGGATGAAAACTGTCCAAAATGGTGGGATCCAGTGATGGCTTCTTAAGGAGGGTTTTCCCAGGGTTCTATTAACATATGTAATAACTTGAAACCAAAAAAAAAAAAAAAAAAAA